TTCACCCCCCTCAATTCGGTTTAATTTTTTTTTTTTTTTGTTTTTTCTTTTAAAAAAAAAAAGTTTAAAAAAAAAAAATACAATTAATAATAAAAAAAAAAAAAAAAAAAAAAAAAAATGTTTAATGCTAACCAACCCCCCCCCCCCCCCAAAAATTTAAATCATTATAAAAATTTTCATTTTTTTAACTTTACTTTCATTTATAAAATCATTTTCAACATTTTATTACGAGGTGGGCCAGAATATTCTTTGTAACAATAATGTTTTAACATTAAGTATTTGTAATACTTTAAGTTATGGCAAAATTTCAATAAATTTTTTTGCTTGCTATAACGTGGTTTATTATTTAATAAAAAAAATTAAATTAAATTAAAAATCTGCCAAATTTACCTACCAGCATTATGTATTCATTTAAAAGACAGTTACACAAAAATAAACGAATAAAAAGAAATTTGGTTTCTTATTTTCTATAATAAATAAATAAAATGATTATTCCAGTACGTTGTTTTTCTTGCGGAAAAGTTATAGGAAATAAATGGGAGTTATATCAAACGATGCTGGAAAGTGATTATACAGAAGGGTAATTCTTTCTCACTACCTTTTCTGTCTAAAACACTTTTTTTTATTTTTTTTATTAATATTCATTGAATTCGAAAGCTCGGCTATGAACGCGATAGGACTTCAAAGATATTGTTGCCGTCGCATGATTTTAACTCACACTGATCTGATCTCTAAGCTTCTGCAATATAATCGTAAGTATGGATATTCTTCTTTTTGGTTTTTTATACGACTTAATTAATTTTATTTTTTAATGATAATAGCTCAGGAAAGAAGTCGCGAACAGTTCAGAGCACAATTCCGTCAACAACCAGGTCAATTAATGCCTACTAGACCTGCTAAAATGTAATTATAATTGAAATACAATTATATTTTGATTACTTAAAATTAAAAATAAAATTTGGTTTATTTTATTAAAATTTTGTTTGACTATTTCTTGATTTCTATTTTGTAAAAAAAAAAAAAAAAATGAAATCCATAATAAATATTGACTATACCATTTTCAAATTATCAGATAAATGATGAATATAACAATATGTTACTTTTATTTGAGATGAAACGAAACTATGATCTGCAGAAGTTTATTCACCGACTTCGCTTCCTCTTCATTTTTATCATTCTTGGTAGAATTTTCCAATCAACAATACGAACGTAATGATAGGTTTTGGATTCTTTTTCAAAAAGGAAAAAAATTTTTTTTTTCAAATTTTTTTTAAAACATGCATACATCAAATCAAGTTGTCCATCCATATCATTATGACTGGTGATTTTCTCTATTGTATTTCCAAATGTATGATGTTGATGCATCATCATCTAATTCATTTAATAACTGGTTAGTAAAAACTTCATAAAACTAGCACGTACGAACGATCATCAGTTGACAGGAAGAAATTAACGTTATACACTCTATCATTGTAAGGAATTAATGAAATAACCTCTTCAATATCAGGTCTTTTATTGGAATTATCGTCCCAGCAGTTGTTGACTTTGTTAAGAAAATCAAACGAATCCTACAGTCAAAAAATCGTTATTATATAGACGAAGAACTTAAAAAATATTAAATGTAATTGGAAAAAATAATACATTCTAGCCAAAAACCAACAACATAATTGAGCTGGGTAAACATACGAAATGATAAGCCTGAAAGTGAAGAAATTCAACCAAGCTGGGTAAACGGCTGAAGTAACTATGACTTAGAATAGTGAGTGTAAAATTTATGCTCCAATAATCAATAATGGATTGAGGTCTGTGATCTCCTTAATTTCCTATGGTCTGGGAAGCATTCTGAACTGCTTATGATAACTTATCGTTGTTGCATCATTGTTCTAGTATGAAAAATTGATCGAGTGATCATAGGTTAACCACACATCCTTTAATATATTAACAGGTTAAACTACACGAATGGCTAACGCTAAGTCCTATCGCTAGTTCGAAGTCAGACCTTGAAGAAACAGGGTTGAGCTTTGCATTTTAGACGCGTAATTTAGTGAAGTTTCATATGGGCTTCTTTGCCATAAGATAGTGACTCATTGGTGAAGTTACATATATGGGTTTCTTTGGCATAAAGTAGTTTTTAACTACTAGATGCTTAGCATATAATGTATGTAATTTGGATTTGGTATAGGTTCCTACTAGACGCCTAACATAAAATTTATGTAATTTGAATTCGGGTGCTGTGCTCCTTCTCTTTACTGAGTAGAAATACTAAAATTGTTTTTATTATTTTTGATATAGAACTTTATTTTAGAATGAAAAAAACAGTCCGGTTATAAGTAGTCAAAGTGGTGGTAGATCAAATTGGTAAAATGGTGGGTTAAAGTAGGATGGTTGAATTG